ATATATATATATATATCAGGCAGGCTTTAGCACTGCCTATATAGGGATGGCTTGGATTATTCATCGAAATGATATCTTACATATCTTCTCAATAGGTGATCAGGACTTTACAATACTATACAGTGTTTCCACTTATAACAATATCTGTGTAATGACAGAGTCACAAGTTCTGGAAACATCTGTATTACATGGTAACTCAAAACCCAAAAAATGGTTTTAACCAATTTCACTGAGGTGACATCATTTCTAACAGAGAAGTCACTTTTATAAGTATTATCAATAACTAGTAGTAATTAAAATAATCATAATTATAGTGTAAATGATGTTATCATTACCCCTTGTAGTTAGCTTTCTTACAGAAATTTGGGGTTCATTGAAAAAGCTCAAGTAGAGGGTGAAACAGGAATTACCAGCCAATAACAGATAAGCAACATTTGGTTTCCTATAGCGAACAAAATAAACAAACTTCCTCTTTTATATATATATATATATATGTAGATATATGCATTACACTTTTCCACCTATCAATGAAAAACCTTATTTATTGATAAAACTATGAGAAAACAAAAACTTCTTTGTGACTAGTATTACTCACCAGGTAGGTCAGTTCACTTGTTTTGGTATCATAGAGTCCTGTGGAGTTAGCAAATCCTAGAGTCCACTGTGCAAGAACCAACCAATCCTTATGCTTCTTTAGGATGCTGTGAGTTATATCAGGCAGCCTCAGAAGAATTTCACCAAACAAGGCTGTATTTTCTAGCAACTGAGACAAAGCTGAAAAATGTGTAAATGAATACTTACAATTTACTACTTTTTTAAAAACATACAGCTTTCGTGCATCAGAGTTGATCTATCCAAATGGACTACACTACAAGTCAAGCAAAAAGTTCATAATTAAATCTTATCTTGAGAACTTACTTTTGCACTTACTTTATCACTGCTTAAGCACATGTATATTATTATTTTTAATTATTTAAAAAGTTAATCATTAAAAATTTAGGACTGTATGTATTCATACACATACACATACTTGTTCTAAAAGAATTAAGGAAAGCTGTGAAACTTCAATAACAAGTTAATTCTTGCAAAAGGAACTTTTCAACATCTTTTCCTATTATCAATGTTGTCTATATACTATATTACAAAGAATTTGAAAACAGGAATAGTACTGTACCACATATTTCTCTCTATATTAATATTTTGGTGATCCAAGAGGTAGAATAATTTCTTTCTGGAACATACTCTGGATAAGGTTATTTTAGATAAAGCTCATACAAGTCAAAACTTATGGATGAATAAGTACTAAATCTAATCAGATGATATAAATGCAAATAAAGATATAACAAATATCACAAAACAAATAACAATTCAATATATTTGAAAAAATATGCTTCCATTTTTAATCCACAAAGACTATATTGTTTTAGATAGTGCAAGTACCTAATACATGTTATTTTGTACACTATATTTGTCTCTCATTCTTACGTGTACCAAAACTACACTCAAAATCTTTATTATGCACCTGTAAATATCAAAGACAAGACTTTCTGGTTAAATGTTTATACCTTGTTGTTTTGTACTTGAATTCTTTAAAACCAGATAAGCACTTTTTGCAACTTATATAAAATAAAAGATATATTAGCTCACCTTCTCTAATAATTTCCACTTCTGGGAATTCACCTCCAGGAATGTAGCCGGAGCTTTCCAAGTTTATTTTGGCCTTTGTTAAAACCTGCATAAATGAAGTGTGTAAGTAAGATCCATGTTATTCATAAAACCTGATTAATTTTAAACTTGTAGGGCATTTATCATAGAAACTACAAGACTAACAGCTAAAAATGTATATGTCATGAATCTTCAAATAGAAATACATTTTCCTTACATTGTATATTACAGTTCATGTATATATGTTAGTAATACTGCCAAATCTGAACTATAACATCAAATATATAAAAAATATACAAATGATACATCTACATCAATGTTTGTTTTAAAAGTTCAAAAAATTCATGAATTGTTTACCCACTATCTTAACTCCATAATCTCTTCTATATGTTTTAAGTAAATGGATCTCAAATACATTAGGTTGTGTACATATAAGAATTTTTTTTCATATTAGCAAACAGCTTAATCTTGATTTTTCACAAAGGCAAATAATCAGACATCAGTACAAATAGTTTTATTAAAGTAAGACATAGTTAGTTTACCACACAACAAAACATAACCAATTAAACATAGAAATATATTTTGTTTACTTACTAAAATAAGCTTCAAAAACCTACACAAGCAATCCTGTAAAACTTGTCTGAAAGCAGGTACAGAACTACCATAAGTTTGCATTTCAATTTTCTTAGTACATTTTATGTTTAAAAAGAAACCTCAGTTTTTTAGGAAAAACTGAAGGGCAACAGTACTCTTTTAGATTAAATAAGTTTTTAGATTTATAAGCAAGTAACCTATGTAGTTTAAAACATTTTTTGGGGCATAAAAAGTACTTTGTATTTAAAATCATGTTAAATCTATTTATTACAATAACCATGATGAATCAACCAGTTTTGTTTTACTTCTTGCTTAATAAATGAAAGTGTTTAGTTGATCTAGATTAACATTTATAAATCTATAGCCCGTGTGAAAATTAATTCAAGCCTCCTTTAAAAAGTCTTTTCAATCTCTCACCACTAATCTTCAGGAAATATTTAATGAATCAGGGAGTTGTATGGAAGATGACAAGTTAGCCTGAAGTCACATTTGATTATTCTCTATTTCCAAGTTTAACAATTCTCACTCTTAAACAAGACTTGATGCAAGTTTATTCAATAAAAGTAGAAACATTTTAAAATGGCATACCTCAAATAGTTTCTTTAATAATATATCAACCATCTTGTACTGCTTCTCAAAATCAGCAAAAGATACAATTGTCTTTACAACTTCAAGCTGTTCTTTTCTTTTATGCTGGAAAAGAACTTTATCTAAATAGTTTAACAGCTAAGGAAGTTTTCAAGAAGCTGGCATACATAAAATTGAGTTAAATGTTCCATTTTACCCTCCTACAAAATTCCAAGTTTGCTTTAAGGTTTATGAAGTTTTCCTCAAAATTAAGATTATGTATTGTGTAACTAACCATGAATTGGTAAAACATTTTCACATAAGCTAGCAAAATACTGGGCTGCAATTTATAGTAACAGTGTACATATACTGTTAAACACTTGAACATCAGACGTATCTTCCTCCTTTGTTAATATAGATGCAAGTTTCTGTAAAATCACTTGATATTTCCTAACAATATTTTGGATTTTGTCAGATGTAAAAGTTGCATGAACTTTTGAACCTAAACAAAAAAACGTTCTACTTCTAACACTGTTTGTACAAAAACAAGATTGTAAGTAAGAAATGGTACTTAAAGTTTCATTATTCAGAGTTCTTTCTTCTTAACCTGTTATACTAAATTTTATATACTAAGCATAAAAGAATTCCAGCTGGCAAAATCTAAGGAAAACTAAGAATTATTTTTATCTTACATGTATATTGTGGTACTTGTCAATCTGGACAGAAACATTCCTATAAGAAAACCTTGTGCTATATTCTGAAGACAACAGGATAAGAGGACACAAGATTAAGATTCAAATGAAAAGACATGCTCTGCTCCAGTTAAAGACCTTTTATTTTTTCTAACAGGTTGATTGGTTTATGGATTGAGTCATCAGCAATAGTGAAGACTAGCACTTTACATGAGTTTGAAAAGAAAATGGTAATTTCCTGAAAATAAAGGATGGGTTTAAGTTTTTACTTTTTCTCAAGAATAAGTGTGCAGGAACATCCTTCAAGAACCAAATGATTCCTCATTGTCTGTATTATTATCTGTATACTGAGAAAAAAGCAGACACATGTGGCATAAGCATCTGTGAATTGAAGTAATAATATTTTTTATAATATATGTATAAATTCTTTATGACGATTATAATGCATCATTAATTTAGTTAATGGATTCAGGACTATTCCAGACCTCTTAGGTTGGCCAAATCTTATGAGATGTTATTAGGATTATGTCCCAAAATATTGCTAATGGTAAAGGTACATATCTGATGAATCAGTTCATCCAGTATTGATTAAATGTTATACAATACTGACTTACAGAAGCTCAAAGTTAACATTTTCCTAAATTGAAAATATATTTCCAATAATACTTACCTCCGCTGACACTTATAGCTATTACTCGACTGCCAGGATTTCTTCTTTGCCCATCTAAGCCTTAGTCTGATTGTTTCTTGCTTGCTCCAAGATTTTATACCCCACTCAATTGCCCTTGGTGATATTTGTCTCATGATACTCTTCACCACAATCAATGTGCCTTCTATCCTGGTAATGTACATAAGCACCTCATTCAGATAATTTTATTACTTTTTTCAAGACTAATACCATCCCAGTCTCTAACACCAGCTCTTAGTGGGGAGGAAGGGCAGGAGAATGTCAGTGGAGGTAAATATTATTGGAAATACATTTTCAATTTAGAAAAATGTTAACTTCCAAAACATGCTTTCCTCTGCTGACCTTATAGCTAGAATCCCACGTTGAAAAAATGGAGGGACCAGTGAGGGCATTATCCATACAGAAAGCATCTGCATAGATCATGATGTACTATGAACTTAGTTCCTGTATCAAGGGTGGAATTGTACATGAATGATCATCACCATAGGACAGCCCAAACCAGATAGACAAGGTTCCACTACTCGGAGTTGGAATTAAGAGGTCTTGGTCCCTATATCCCACGTTGCTAGCAATTGGACAGCAACGTTATATATATATATAATGTAGTCATAGAGTGATGCATTCTGAACCACCAGAATCATAATGAGAAGATAAGCAACACATAAGCGGACAAACCTTCTCCACTTGAAGAAGCCAGAAAGGCAACACCACAGGCTCAGAATGATAGGATTGCATATGCCTTATTCAACCAAAGGAACAGAACTCATCCAGTCTGGAATTATGAACATTCATCCTCACTCCCCAACCGAATGGGCAAGGAGCCTCCCACTTGCCCCTAGAATTATGGGGAGGATGTGGAACAACTGTGCTCAACTAAGGATCCAGTGATAAGATAAGACTAGTCCCAAGAAAGGAGGTCCAAAATTCGAAAATAAGGAGCCCTAGACCACATGCCTCCTTGATGAGAAACATAAGACACCACTGCAGAATAGTCAGAGTGAAACATCCTAACTTACCCCCTCAAGATCAAAGAATGATCCCAACTACGGAAACTGGGAAAACTAGGAAATGGATGTGTATAATCCTGGTCACTTAAAGACCAATAAAAACATGTGTTCTTGTCCCAAAGGCACAAAGGATTCGAATGATGCCTCCATTCCCAGAAGAGAAATACTATCCGTGCAGTTGGAGAAGGAGAGGTGAGTAAGAGTGTGGTGTTCTATGGTGTTGAGCCGGATGGAAGACAGCTGAGAGATTAGATGAAAAATACCCAGACTGATGACATATTGAATTGGAGGAATAAGAGATATTGCAGTCCCAAATAAAAGCCTGCCTGAGTTGTATCTGAAAGTAGATGCAGGATGTGACGGTCTAACAATTGACGAGATGTTGCCAGCAGTAACCAGCCATCCATGGAATGGTGCGTGTACAGTACGATGGACTGAAGGGGAAGAGAAAACTCATAAGATACAGCATAACCCATGTTAAGACTCTGCAAGATCAAAGATAAAAACACGGAATTGCAGTACCTGACCCTTGTGCACCACAAATGCCAATAGTGGTGGGACTCCATCACTAAAGCAAAGTGCAGATTGGAACCAACTACAACCAAGTTGGACATCTACAATCCCAGTAAAAAAAATCAACACAGATTAAGGAATGATTAACTTGTGAACCTTGGTGAATCTAGGAATTGATATAGACAAGGATTTGTTTGTTTGAAGTTAAACACAAAACTACACATTGGGCTATCTGTGCTCTGCCCACCACGGGTATTGAAACCTGGTTTTTAGTGTTGTAAGTCTGCAGACAAACCACTGTGCTACTGGGGGGTGATATAGATAAGGAAGATTGATGACTGGACACCAATCTTCTGTCTTCATAATCTCAACATCTAATAGAAATAAAAACTCTGAAGAACTAGCCTTACTCTTTAACTATGCCCAAACCAACCAGACTCAGATAGCCCTAAAACTAAATTCCAAATCTCAATGAACTGCAGGAGACAGAAACCCTACAGGTTGGGTGGATAATAGTAAGGAAGATGTGAACTGAACAACACAATTGCCATGTATGGAGAAAACAAAATTTGCTCCCAGACCTTTCAGCCATCAATTTAGTTGAAGGCTCAAAAGCAACCAGGAACAGAGATGAAAGTGTCCCTTTCCTAAAAATCCTGAAAATAATCGAAGCCAAGTAAGGGAGGTCCAGCACCCAAAATCCTGCATTTTGATGCATTTTAGTACTTAAAATTCACTTAAACAAGTTACCCCATTTTTCTTACATCAATGATTATCAAATACATGTGAGAAATATCAAATCTGATTCTCCTAGTTAATGGATAATTTTCAAGAGTGCATTCTTTGGAATTCATAATTTTCACTATTGGATGTCAAAACTTATATAAAACATTTCAAAAACACATATGCAGTACTGAGTGTAAGTTATAAAAGCATTATTTTAATAATGAATCTATTCAATTTCATAATAGTGTGAACTGTTTAGTCTCAGTTGAATCATACACCATTGCTAAAAGTAAATCAGACATATATTTATTGTAAAATCAAACTAATTCGCTGAATGTAAACAAACCGCGCATGGAACACCAAAAATCCGATAAATAATTTTTAAAAATGTGTTTCTCCGGAAGAAAACCGAAGGTTTCAGGATTTTTTAGAAATATCCGGATTTCCGGATATATCCGGAAGACTTTCATTATTAGATATGCTTGTGACCAATTATTTATACCAAATATATATTGTAAACACATCAAATAAAAATGCTTTAATCATATTGACTACAATAATAATAACTAAATTATTACATTTAAGTAGATCATTGTAACGATCTGTGCAATATGACATGATAACAAACAAAACAGTTCATGAAAGTTTATAAAATCAATGACTTATTAACTACTCATACTACAAAGTAGTGAAACAAGAACATTTCATTTGACTGATCTTCCCTTAATAAAATTACTTGAGTATGTTAACTATAGAATGTTATTCCAACACTATTCTGATATTATATATCTCAGAAACACTTTTGTGCAAATACTGAAAACAAAGAATCTTAATCTGCAATGGAAAATGTTATTCTTAATCTTATCATTTCCTTGTAAGTAACTATATAACTTACCATTGCCATCAACTGGTTCATAATATAACTGTACAAGATCAAGTTCATGATTCTGAAATTTTTCTAATGTTTCATTCAGTTTATTTAACACATCTTCATCCAGACTATACCACTCACTCAGAGATTTGTACTGGATGCATTCATTCGGTTTCTCTCCACGAATTTCCACTTGGCATCCATCCCACCAGTAAAGAGCACTTTTAAGTTTGTTCTTTTTAGCTGTTATCCATAATGGTTCAGCTTGTTTCCACCAGTGAGCTACACTAGCGCTTGGATCTGGTGCCATGAGAAAGAAGTCGCCTTTATCAGGGTCGTACAAGTAATTCTGGACAAACCCATGATTCTCTGCATAGAGACCTAATACACAAACAAAATAACATTATATCAAATATCTCAGTATATTTAATGGTAATACACAGGTAAAATATTTGTATACCTACTTGGATAACTATTACTATTCTTTATAACATTGAGATTATTTTACTACAAATATAGTTAAATTGGAAATACCTTGCAAATAAAGTTCACCATGTAAATATGACCTATCAAAGTATAATGTCATATCATTTGCATCTAAAATCGAAGTAGGGAAAAAAAAACACTGAAAATTGTGATTATCTGTTAAACATCATTTTATGAAGTAGTATGCAACAATAATAAGTGTTTTTAATGCATAGTAAATTTTGGCATATAATCCTATTATCAAAGAGGAATAAAGCCAGCAATAGTGTGTTGATCTATTTGACCTCTGACTCCAAGACAGCAGGTAGCCTTTTGAACCAAAAGGTTACCTGTTCTATGGGCAAAGCCATATTGCATGTTCTGTGTTGAATAAAATAACGAACAAATAATAACTTACCTGAAGTAATGTTATTAATAACCAGATCCAAGGATTCTCATTTAATTAAGAACTTATTTTAGTTCATGAATGATATCAGCATTCATAACATACAAGACAACTTCTCTGCTAGCCCCCCAGTGGCTTTCCAGTAAGTCTGAGGGGTTATAACCATAAAAATCAGGTTTCAATACCTGTAGTTGGCGCAACAAAGAGAGTCCATTATGTAGCTTTGTGTTTAATAGCAAACAAACAAAAATTTCTTTGCCATGACTAAACTAGGTTTTCAAATCCACTCAATAAGAGTTAGCTCATCTGACTAGTATTTCATATATCAGTTCTTGTCCAGTCAAGATGTTTCTGAACAACCAAAGATAGTATTTCTAACCAATATAAATTTATCTTGCATTCTTTAGTCATCATAACCAATGTCTGATTATCCACATATAATCTCTCTAACTGGTTTTTAATTAATTTTCAGTCCTCAATCACAATAATGGAAGTTGCCTTATGGTTTTCAGGTGTCAATTAAAAGATCTTTTCATAAATTTCAGAAGAGTTTATTTACAGTCACATGGTATTCACACGTCAAACTGGATCTACAAGACAAGCTATCATGACTGCAAAACAGGAGGTTTGAAATAATTTGCATGTGATATACATCAAACACAACCAGCAATACATGACAACAGATAAATGTTCCTCTCAGAAACAAGATCATTTGAAAAACATGTAACATGACAAAAACAAAAACATTTCACTCTACATCAGTCACTCTGTGATGTGGCTAGAGAACAACAGAAAAGCATAAGTCAAATCTGGCAAACACCAAGTGAATTCTGAAAAAAAAACTGCTTTTGTTTTGAACTATTATTATAATTCCATGTTCCACTAAGACTTCCCAAGATGTCACATCACCAGACAAGTTCTATTCACATAAAATACAAATCAGAGATTTCAAATTCTCTATCTTCACATTTAGCCTGTGTGTCAGACAACCCACTATAAGAATACACCAATGAATTATCTAGCAAACACATGTGCTTGGACTTTATACATGGGAAAGAGCTACTAAGAGAAAGATTAATAGAGTTCAAAGTTGAGCACAAACTGTACTTTAAATAAAGAAACCTATGAAGCAATTGGAAATACCAATATTTTATCCTTTCATAACTATAATATGAATATATCTGCAGCCAGATATATTCAATGAAAATTTTTTTAAATTTTCATAGAAAACTTTTTGAATTTAGTCACTATTTATGAAAATATGTTATAGTCAGTTCTAGATTTTGTCTCAAGAAGAGTACATGCCACAAGAATTACTTTACAGATTAATGAATTTATACAGGTGATAGAGTGGTCTGCATTGGTCAGTGTTAGCAGGGAGAATATCTTTCTTTTAACATAAAATTAATATGATCTCAGATGTGGGAAATTCAGCACAGTTTGAAATTTGATCTAACTAAAAATACGGTAGAAGACAATCCTGCTATTCCATCTAGTGAAGATGCATTTTTAATATATCAAGCATACATTCCAAAATGTTACCTACTCTTGTCCAAACATATTATCCAGACAATCAAATGCATGCTTACAAAGTTAACCTTGACCAAACTAAGTGGGATGAATACCTTTCATATATGGTGGCATATAGAACAAGTGAACACCAAGATACTGGTTATGTGTCAAATCTCTTTATATTGAGAAGAAAATTATAGCCCTTCCCCATACTTAGGTACATTCCATGGGATACTTCTGAGTGCAGAAATGGCACAGTGTTCACAGAAAAGTGTGGAGTTTCTAATATCTGCATTAGTTAATAGATGAAGAGAGATGTTATCCCACATAAGTAGTAGATAATGGGTATGGCTTTAATATGCACTTGCAATGTGTAAGCAACTCAGTTCTGGCTTAATTGGGTCTTTTCTCATCTTCAAATAGCTGAATCCATCAATTATGTGTTGTAATGGTAATATGGTGCACAAAAGCATCTTCAAAAGGTTGACAAGCTAAAGTCATATGTTGCTGATGAACCTCTTTTGTGCTAGTTGACTGAGAATGAGACTCTGACGAGATTAATGAGTCTGTGTACAATTAGATTAATGTGTCTTATAAACTCAATCTGGCTGATGAAGAAGAACATGCTATATGCAACAATCAGGCTGTTTGAGATGAATCAGATAAAGGTGACTCAAATGTAGAACAGCCCAGCTGTTCAAGAAAATGAGCATGGCATCAAAGACATTTACAGAATTGATAGAGGTTGGTTTGAAACTCATCAGTATTTAGTAGCGTTATACATTGGCAGCTCAAATAACTGTAGGACACAAATTTCAAAATGGAGTTATGATTCCTATTTTTCATGCTATTAAATCAACTTTCATGATATCTACAGATTATTTATATTAGCTATCCAGTTGTAGCAGGACAGTTGCATATATAAGATCAACAACTTCCATAAATACCTAATGGAGTAATGCAATATTTCTCTTGTGCAGACTGCATGAAATTTACCAAGTCACTACAGCTAGGTTAGTGTTAGATGTAATCCTAGAATACTGATGATTGGTGAGGTTTTTGATCACTAAACATTCTTATATACCAAGAAGATAAAAGGACTTTGTGGCCCTTCATTAATGAGAACCCGGGTTTAGTTTTATGGCAAACATTGGCAGATGTTACCCAAGGTATTTCCTGAGAGGTATTGTAGATTATAGGTGAAATACTGTTAAATAAACAGAAGATCACACTTTGGGGTCTGGTAGGTGCATCAAAGTCTACCCAGTATGCGGAGAAAATTGTGCGGTAATAAATCATAAGTTATGTAGACACTTATAAATCTTGTCATTTGAACCATCAAAATGTTATTTTAGTTTTTTAATACACAAGCTTTAGGCTCAATTACCTAAGCCTTCTATAGGTGCAAGATGTTTTAGTAAACAACCTGATCTGACAGAAAAATTTGAATTACAAGTTGCCAAGCAACAATAAAAAACAAGAACGTGTCCTCTTTATCTTTACAACAATAAGCCTGAAAAGCTAAAATAATTACATTATCAACAGTAAAAATAAATAAAGTTAGATAAAATATAATGAAGGACCAGGAAAATTATTTGATTAGTTTTACAACAGTATCAGAGTCAATGAAAGTAACCATCAAGTATGAAGAGGGAATCCATGATTTTGATTATTGCCACATTCATGAACTGCTATTACAATAGCTCCTCTAATTTTCCTCTTTTTGGTGGTATCACAGCCCTTGACAACTGGTTTTATATTCTTAAGGTCAACATTGTGGTTGTTCTCTCTCTAGTGTGTAATGTAACACTTGAAGTATCCACAACAGCATGTACAATGTCTCTCTGGTGTTCTTTCATTCTGTTACCAGGACATGTAGTCTTTCCAATGTATCCTTTTTACATTCACATGATACACTATAAACATTTTTTTTGCACAGAAGTCAGAAGTTTTGATTTAACCTTTGTTAATATATTGTATAAGTTAGTTGTGCTTTTGAAAATAGTTATAATGTTAAAGGAAAGTAGGTTATAACCATCATGTGTATATTTTCCTGATTAATGTTTGTTTGTTTTTTATTGAAGGAGTTTTTAACAGTCTTTTGTTCTAATTGTTGGGGATAGTTATTGTTAATAAAAGTCTGTTAAAGCTGTATAAGTTTAATTTCTATGTATTCATTGCTGTATATTCTACATGCTCTGCATGTTAAGATATTAATGACACTGTGTTTAACAGATACATGATTTGAAGTTAAGCTAGCTGTTCATATTAACTGCTTTGCAATAAACAGTAGATTTTAGTTTCAGGTCATCAATAATCTTTACAACCAGTACATCCAGAAAAAGAAAGGAGTTATTTGTTGATTATTAGATATAATAAAAACTTTTTATTTTTGTGTTATGTTTCTAGGTTATGAAAATGTCATCAACTTATCAAAGGCGAGGAAGATGCAGTGAAGTTGTAATCACTGTAGCTATAAAATGCTGCATATGAATTTTGATAAGTAGAGGAAAAAGAGAAGAGCCCATTGGAGTACCATCCTTCATTTGGAAGTACTCATAGTTTCAAGAAAAATAGCTTGATTCAAAGCAAAATTCTAGAGGTTTGATGATATTCTTAACTAAAATTAGTGTTCTGTCAGGAACTTTTGTGAAAAAGGATACCACATCAAAACTAACAAGAATGTCATCATTATTAACCTCTTCGCTCCTAATAATCTCAACACAATAATCTGAGTTTCTTAAGCATTCATAAGCTTCAACTAAAAGTTTCAAAATCATACATGAAAACCTTTGCAGAGTTATGCACAGAGGAAACAATACAGCATACAATAGGTTGTAGAGGTATGTCAAGCTTGTGGATTTTTGAAAGTCCATAAAACATGGGAGAACAATGATGAGAAGATAACTGTTGATACATATGTTTCATAATTTTCCTACTCTTGTAAATTGTGAAAGAAATTTTAGTTCCTTCACAGGTTTTTAGTAAGTTCTGCTTTTAAAACACAAATACAATTCACCTGTGGATACAACTAACAAAACACTGGAATATCGGACCATACTATTTTTCCTCTCCTTTATTAATATTTCTTCATCTGGTTTTGTGATGACTTCAAAGATCACTCTTCAGGATATAAATTTACTGAGAATCTATAATTCTATTTTATTATCAACATATTGAGAATCTTTACCTCAATTTATAATAATAATAATTTTATTTTCAATTTTCTTTCCTCTCTCTCAATTTTCTTTTTCTCTAATTGTTCTATGAACCACATTTTCTTTTGTTTCCATTTTTCATCACTTCTTCTCTTATTCATTCTTCATAAATCATTCCAATATTATCTCAGTGCTTCAAAAATCTCTTTATTCTCCATCCTTTCATTAAATAAATTCCAAATTTTTAAGTCAATTCCTGTGAATTTCACTTTTGACTTTCAATTCTAACTTCCAGAGCTTCAATTTCGATCCTCAACTTTTTCATTTCTAATCTTGTTCTCATTTGCTTTTCTTCATTTGATATAGCTTCATTAATTCTAATAGGGAATCCTTTTGAAATTTAAAATAACCATATTTTTATGTTTTCCCTTTTTTGGGCATGTAATGTAAAACATAGGGTAGATGTAATTAGTTGTGTAAAGTCAGTAAGAACTGTGAAACCACGAAAACTGTTACTAAGACTTACAGAATACACTAAAGTAAGTAAGAGAATAAAATTATAGAATAAATAAATTGTATTTCTATAATAATAAGAGAAAGTATATAGGATAAACTTTGACTAATTTTATTTATTTTTGAGCATTTTGAATGTACTTAATTTATTAAAGAGTTTCGTTCATTTGATATTTGAATGAAGGGTGCCACTGCGTACAATTCGGAGATGTTCACGGAATCTGTCACCTAATCTGAATATAGTTTCCCCAATGTTGAGTTGTTTACATTTAGTATAGCAAATACAATAAATAATGCACTCTGATGTACAAGTGAATTGACCTTTTACGTGAAAGGTAAATGTACAACTGAAGAGAATCAATAAGTTTGTGATATAATCGCATGTAAGGCAAATAGTTTGTCCACATGGACGAGTTCCATTAGTTTGTGCAAGTAAAGATATTCAATCTGTAATCTGGAATGTACTAAACAGTTTTTCAAATTCCTCTAATGTTTGAAAAAAAGTAAGGGTGAGGTGGTAAAAATGTCATGAGATGTGTTGTCTCTTGTTAGTAAGGTAAAGTTCTGTTGGACAATTCTAATAATCTGTTTGGTTAAAAGATGGAATGTAAGGACTAAAGGAACTGTCACTATGTGGTTTTTCCCTAAAGTAGAGACAGTCAGTTTGTAATAAACTGAATGTGGCAGGTTTAGCCTTTTCAATGGTGTTGTTGGGATAGTTGTGATATCTAAAATAATGAGTCACGTCATTTGCTTTACATCTGAAGTCAGTGTTGTCAGAGCACTGATGTCTCAAACGTAGGAATTGTCCCTTAGGAATAGCGTGTTTGTGCTCAGATGGATGAAAAGAATTAAAATGTAAATAAAATTGGCTATCAATGAGTTTACAGTGTACATTAGTAGTTAATGTAGATGTGGAAATAACAATAGTGATGTCTAAAAAGTTAGCTTTATGACTAGAAATTTGGGAAATAAATTTATGAGATGGTTGATAAGTTTTGGCATAATGAATGAAAAGGTCAAGTTAATCTTTGTGTCCAGTAAAAAAACACAGAATATTGTCGATGTACCTGATAAAAAAGGTAGGAAGTTTGTGGGTGAAGGTACTTAAAAGTTGTTCTTCTACATAACCAATCTACTAGCTAAAAGACCTGGTTTCTATCAAGATCAAAGCCTGCATTTAAGGTTTGGCACTTTTTTACCAAGATCTGTTGAACACAGATATAGATCCAGAATATCATTAGAGTTATGGGGGAAGCTGGTACAGGTGGGTGTGGCATCATTTAACAACATACAATTACTTTATTTTCTCTAAAATTTACAAGTTTAGTATCATATGAATTTGTCTATATATACAGACAAATCAGTCATGTTTACTATTTCGGTCACCTATAGCTATAGTTTGAATTATATTTTTTACTACTGGTCTTTTAGGAGAGCAAAAGAGGCTAACAATTGTTATATTTTTTTTATTTTTGAGATGGGCATCAACAGCTATACATTCATTTGTTGTGACTTGTATTAAAGGTTATCTGTGTAACAGATAGGGATGTTTTATAGAACATTGCAATAACCCAGTTTTGGTCCTCCTTGTTCACTGTATCAGTGTCAAAAGTCCATTTAAGCCTGTTAAATTGCTTTAGAATTTCAGTTGACAAGCCAAACTATCTTCTCTATTACTATCGCACTAGTATTTTGTGTGTGATTCACTTACAATTGTGGTGCGAGTTACCATAATCATTTAGTCTTCTTTCTTCAAAATACCGTCTATTCCTTTTGTCAAAGTGTACTCAGGCTGACTGACTTACTTTAGAACCACGCTTTGACAGAATAAATTATTCTTCTTTTCAACTGTTAGTCTTACTCTGACATACTAAACGTTAAGCCTATGTTAATAATTATGCCTATCACTTCTACGGTAGTTATCTTTACATCTAACTTTTCCTTGGCTGTAACTTTAATGTTTACTCTCTTCTGCTATTGTCTGTCTGCTGTCTCACAAAAAATAAACAAAAAAAAATGAATAACGAAAGAACGGATAAACTAGATTAGTTTGAAAACCGATTTGAAGCAACTATTTCAGTTGCAATATCTTGAAGTCACTTCCTTCTCTAATTAATCCATTGTTACGTTGTTTTGTGACAACTGAGGTGTTTGGTACTTCTTGCAGTTTGAAGTTTTATTTTATATATCAAGAACTATTTTTTTCATGAAATGCCATGTATGATACATTTAAATATTATGATTTGAAGCTGAATAAAAGTGTTATTAGAATAAAAACATACCATTTTCCTCTTTTTCATCAGTGGATGTCTTTACAAAGAGTTAAAACTTTTAGTGTTGGATTTAGTTGCCACAATGTGTTAAAACGGTGAATGTTAAAAGATGCTAAGCAATACTTGCTAATTAAATTCAATATAGATTAGCAGTTTCTGCTAATCAAGTTCACCAAACTATTTTATCCTCTGTGAAATACTGGTTACAAGCCAGGTGATTCTGTAAACAGAGTTAGAAAATGACACCACTAACTTTTTTCCTCATTTATCAACAGATCTGTCTAGGCATGTCCAGATGAGATGCATGGTGACTTAAGCATATGCCTTTGAATTGAATTTTAAAGTATTGGTAGTAAACAAATTCTACATAATTACATATATATATATATATATATATATATATATTCTTTTCCTCTTGTTAGCTTACTTTTTTTGTCCTAAAGAAATAGGCTATTTACATTCAG